CCCCCCTCATTTGGGAGTTCGGAGGGAAGCTTGGCCAGGAGGGATTTAGGATCCTTGGAATCTGCCGGATCTCCACCTTAAGTTTTCCTGGTCGGACTTCACGGTTTCCATGAATTTTCCTCCAATATTTTCCATATTTTTTGGGTATTTGCAGCGACCAAATATTGGGCGCTTGCGCTGATGCGCAGTAAGTAGGAAACTTCAAGTTGAGACCTGTGTAAAGTTAAAAAATGACAATATCAACTCCCCGTTTTTCTGCTCAAATTGAAGGTTCACAGTGCTAAGAATGAATGCTAATTATTACTAATTATGTATATTAACAGCTTGTTCTGAGCACAGTTGGCAAGCAACTTTAAAGGATCATTTTTTCCAGTGCAGCACGCAGCATGGCAACCGAAGACAAGCGAGAGTATGCTGCTGCCATGACTTTAAAGATCATGGCTCACAGGCAAGCTTGGGCAGCAGCCCTGAAAGAATTGGCAGAGGTCAAGGAAGAGCAGCCGGAGGATGAATCTGGACCAGGTCCAGTGTGTGTGTCGTCAACTGCACATGACCATGAAGTCGAGGCCACTGAGATGGACAAAAAGACCTTTGAAGTGGGTTCGTTTTCAATGGAGCAGCCTTCAGCTGTTGAGAAAGAGGACGTTGCGCCAGCGCTGAAGAAGGAAGACATGGCAAAGAGCGAAGCTCCCACAGAGGATCTGCCGTCTACAAGTGGCCTGAAGGATGACCAACTTCCACCTTCTAGATCAAGGCCAGTTGATTCAGAAAATCCTGGTCCTCCGAGCTGTGGAGACGACAAGCCCCAAGCGCAACCAAAGAGGAAAAGAGGACGCCGTGGTGGCCGCAATGCTGACTGGTACGCTGCGGCCTACGCCCTGCGCAACGTTTGGGGGAGAAGTGAGGGCCGCATTTGATTCCAATCGACACAGCGTTCAGATTTTGGTCAAAAAAAGGTCGGCCACTTACAAATTGTCCGTATTCGTTTATTAGGAAGTTTTGTTTTGCGGTTTCATTGCAGTGGCTTTCGTTGGATGTTCGTTTCAAGGCTGACAAGTTTTTTCTCGCTCGCCCGTATCTTGGCTCCTTTACATTCATGTACGGTATTTGACACCGACCTGTGTGGGCGCAGCGACCTTCGGGGCGCTACACTGCTCCAGCACAAACTTAGTTTTGAGTCAGATTTGCGTTGTGACTTCATGGCTGCTGCTGATGGAGATGCAGCTATTCCAGTTGAAGACGCCCCAGAAGCAGAGAAAGGCTTCTCTGCGCAGTGGTTGGACAAGTTTGCAGAGCGCCTGGACAAGCATCCAGCTGGCCCGTGCGCCTTCCTGCAGGAGGAGTTGCAGACTGAAGCCGAATTTGCAGACTTCATGGATTGGCTTTGGATTGAATTCGCTGAGCGGCCAGACATTCTATACCAACATGGCAAAGACTTGCAGGGTGTGACTGAGGACATGTTGGCCCAGACTCCGCCAACTGCTTTCCACATTAGTGCCTTTGCCTTTGATGATCGTTCCAGCATGAAGCCAGGACCTGGAAAGGAGCTTGCTCTCGCATTGGCAGAGCATTACCTCAAGGACGGTTTCACAACATCTGGTGAGCCAATCCTGGCTCAGCATCAGGTGGCGGAGCCCATGAAGCAACTGCCAGCTCCATGGGAGAAACCCAGCACTGGAGAAATCCTGCAGCCATTTAGTGTGGCCTTCATCAAAGGACGTGCTAGAATTACTTCCCTCATGGGCTTGCTCTACAGGATGTTCGACGGTGGTGCAAAGAAGATTTCAGAGCAAAACCGAGTTCTTTGGGAAAGCGTTTGCGTGATTTGGGTCCAGCATTTGAGCCAACATACCAAGGAGGATGAGGTCTTGACCAATTTGAAGCTCAGCCTGAGAGGTTCCCTTCGCAAGGCTTGCAATGTGATTCAAATAGCCCATATGGTGCGAAGGCTTCTGAAAGAAGGCGGCGCCGACTACGCTGGCTTCGTCCGCAAGTGGAATCAGCAGACAGTGCAGTCCCAGCAGATCAAGGGGCGCAAGGCAACTTCTTTGAAGCTACTTTTCGAAAGTACTCCTCAGGACCCGGGTTGATTGTTAAACCAATTTCTACGATTGATTTTAACTTGCAACCTAGGTGTCTCAGTCAGCTTTCATACATATATATATATTATTATATTATATACGAAATTTCTGTAAAACCCTTTTGTCATCAAAAGAAGATGCCACAAAAGAAAAGCGGACTTTCCTTTTGAACATCTCTTGGGTTTTTTTTTTGGCAGCCGCTGGCAGGATGTCCTTGACAGCATTTTGACGCACGTTGGTTTGATGGGCTGGACCGATTCATGCTGGAGCGAGGAGAACTTAGCTTCGAAGCGCCTTTTCCCAGGTCATGCATTCTCATCCCGGTCAAGGAAGTGGTCAGCCCGGCTCAAGGTGACAGATGAGAGCTTGCGCACCATGGTTCAGAGGGTTCAGTGGATGGCAGAATCTTGGAGATCTGATTTGGGCAAGCGCCCGGCCTATGATGTGGCCTTCATGGAGTCAATGGCTGAGAAGGCTGCAGCTTTGTGCTCATTGGCGAGGGAGTTCTGCAAAGAACACCCAGTGAGCTATGATCTGGTCCAAGAGAAAGTTCTGAAGATGTGGGCAGAAGGAGATGAGCGCATCGACATGGAACTCTATGCAGGTCTCCTAGAGAAGTCAGACCAGTTTGAGCCAGGCCTCCATATGCCTTGCTTCAAAGCGTTGTTGGATGATGCCATCTTCAAAGCCCCCGTCACCTCCGACCAGGAAAAGAATTTGCGTGACCAGCTCAAACGGGATGAGTTTGACAGCCTGATCAAAAAGTTGGAGTACGACACCAAGGTTTTTGAGATCTGGCAGTCCAAGTGCGCTGGGGCAACTGTTGCCAGAAACCATGCCCGTCAGGAGCATTTGATCAACCAGCACCGGAAAGTCCATGAAGCGGCTGAGAACTACCTGGATGGTTGTGTGAGGCTCATCACCTGGGAAGGTTGTCGCAGCGCGGATGCCTTGATTCCTCAAATCTTGCAATACCGCCTGGATGCCATGAAAAAATTGAAGACTGCGGTGACTGCCACTGACATCCCGACAGTCACCTTCATGAACTGGACTGCCCCGTGCTTGCTGTCCAACACCAGGCAGGCAGACCATGCAGCTGTTCTGAGCTGGGCCATGCATGATAATCCTAGCAGCTGCGCTTTGATCTTTTCGCCGGTGTTCTCAAACCACAAAGGACGCACTTTCTTGGAGGAAAATGCTGCCCTGCAGCTTTTGAGCCGTGGAGGTCACAACCTGGACCACCAGTTCTCTGTCCTCTACCAGGAGAGATGTGATGCGCGCGATGGAAGGCCTTTGTTGTACCCAGCCAGGTTTGCATTCCCTGGCCATGTGGTGGATTTGAACAAGTCATCGCCTTTCTTCCAGTCCGCGCTTCGCAGGAATGCCAGGACAGAAGCTTGCAAGCAGGTTCCTTCGAAGGACCTCAAGGACATTGAAGATGTTGCGGATGATGCCATTCCACAACAAACTGGAGCCGGCTATGTGTCAGGAGCCGCGAAGTATTCCCAGGGGTGCCTGCTGCAGAAGAGATCTTGAAGAAGCTTTTTGAGGGGTCCCAGCTGGAGAACCTCCACGCAGTGCTTTTGGTGGATCTCAACCCGCGAGTTGCTGACTTTGCGCATGCCTTCTGCAAGCTGCGCAGCCAGTTGGGAGGCAACACTTCCTTGTTTTATTTGGCTGTCTCAGAGAAGGTTAAGGACTTGGAATGGATGCGTCTGACTTTGTTAGACGACTTGGTGGAGAAGTCCAAAACTGGCCAGCTTTCAATTCCAGGAATGCAGCCTTACCAGTCCGAGGTCAGCCAAGATCTCTTGGAGGCATTGCCCACTTTGCCCGTGATGAACTTGCTGGTGACCAGCGGTGAGGGGGAGTTCAAGAAACTCCAATTGCCGCACAACTTGGTGAAGAAGTGGCGGACAGACGATGACTACGGTGATGAGTTTGGCAAGTGGCTGGACAGCTTTGTTGAAAAGTACTCAGTCACAGAAGAAGATGCCCCAATGCCGTCTCCACGCAGTGACCCAACCAAGTCCGAGCCTGGAGGAACCACTCCTGCCGCTGAACCTTCCCCGAAGAAGCAGAAAGTCGAAGAAGTGGCGCCTGAGCACATCATCAAGAATGACGCGATCCAGGACACCCTGCTCTTTGATGTCAAGATTTCAGGCAAAGACTCCATGAGTTTCCAGATTCGATCAGGGAAGAAATTGTACCTGGTCAACCTCACTGGGCAAGAGCTGGCAATGAAAGCGAATTCCGCTTTGGTCGGCTTTGGGCGGGGCCAGTTCAAGCTCTTCAAGGAAGGCGAGGCTGTGGCTGAGAAGGCAGTCCGTTTTGATGTGTCCAAAGAGAACTGCCTTGTTTGTCTCAATGGACAAGTGATGACCATCTCAGACGCGGTGCATCAGCAAAGGGCCAAGAATCCGGAAGCTCAGGTGTCATATCACAAGACGGTTTGGGAAGCTGAGAAGAATCACTACACCTTCCAGCTGGACAAGCTTGTTGCCTTCGTCCCAGCCGACAAGAAATCAGTTTCTCCAAAGAAACCAGAGAAGAATGATGATGACAAGGAGGCCGCTCTTGCAGCTTCCAACACATTGCAGCCAAGGGGGCTTCAGCCATCTATGAGGGCATGCATTGCTGCTGTCTGGTGTGGTGGGTTCGTCGGACGGTCAAAGGCCTTCAACCCATCAAGCCAATGGTCCACTTGACCCGGCGCTTGGTCCTGCCAGTCGGCCAGGCTTGCAAGCTGACTGCGTGAGCCGGAGGGTTTTTTTCTTGGAGGTTGGACGCTGCCTTTTGAGTTTGTTTTACACCATCTTAAAAGTCCCTAGTGTGATTTTGTCAGGGCAGAGTTCAGGAACCAAGCTGCGGGGAACACCACAGATTGACACGTCTCAATCCTGGTGGTGACAATGAGCCCTTGAGAGCGAGAAAACTTGTGATACCCAGCGCGCTGGTATTCGATTCCTTGGTTCTGGACTGGAACGTCTGAAGCTATGTTGTCAGCTTTGCGCTTGGAACTTTTGCGCCTTTCGTTGCAGCAATTTCCAGTTGCCTCAACTAATAGGTTCTTGGTAGCTTGCAAAAACCATAATAAACAATGCATCTATTGCACAATGAAGGCACATCAGTGTCGATTGAACATCTGGGAGAAAGAACCAAAACACATGGCATCCAGGTGGCTAGCAGTCATCCAACTTATTATTCAAGAGTTGAATCTAACGAACCAAAACAATATCCTATATAATAGCTATTCTTATTGAAAAACAGCGCAGTAGAATGCGCTCAGCGCTGGAAGCGCTAGCGTGCCACACGCTGTAACTTGTTATATATATATATTATATAACAATCCATTCATGGTTTGGACTGAGCGATTGCCAGTGCGTCTCTGGTTTCACCCTGCGTTTCACCCAGAGGCTGCTAGAAGCCGTGATGGAGTGCTTCTACTCTGAAGGGCCTTGCATCTTTTGCAACGTTAACCTTTACTTAAAAGGTTTCAGCCTTTTTTAGGTGTCCTTTTCCAACAACTATGACGATGAACGAGCGAGCAAGAGAGAGAGAGAGAGAGAGAAAACAAATAGAAACAAAGAACGAAAGGCAAAAAAACAAAAAAAAAAAAGGAAAGGAAAGGAAAGGAAAGGAAAGGAAAGGAAGGAAGGAAGGAAGGAAGGAAGCCCAACTCTTCTCGCGCAGGATAAATTTAAAGCACGTCAATGCAGTGGATATCTTGCTAAAAGAAAGATATTGCAGTGTACTGTTCTTATTTTCCTTGAGCCAGTTAAACTTTATACTTTGAGAATTTAACCACCGATTGAGTCTGGTACTGCAACGATGCCCTGCCTCCAACACCTACTGTCAAAAAGTCAACACCTACTTTATAGCAAAAAGCCTTATGGGTTGACTTTTCCGCAGAGTGCCTCGCAGAGGAACTCAACTACAAGTTCAGTGCTGAGTGCCCACGCCTAGGAAGAAATGAGACGGGGACTCAAGTACATAATGAAATCTTTCTTCCAAAGATTCAAGGATCCAGCAGATGTTCAAAGCCTATGAAGGGCAGATTGGACTTGTCAAACTCCAACAACTACCAGCAGACAGCTCAATCCAGATGAAAGACAAATCAGAAGCCTGACATGAGCAAGAGAAGATTGGCCTTTTCAGAAGCATGGTTGGATCAGGTATCTACCTGTCAAGAGAGGTTTGATGAAGCATTTTCAGTGAAGGAATTGGCTTCAAGAATGTCAAATCCTACGGCTATGTCATTTCATCACTTGAAGAAGTTCTTAGGACACACGAAGAAGACTATGGACTATTGTCTAGTACTTGAACTTTCACAAGCAGGAGGAGGTTATGTCCAGAAAGGAGAAAGCTATTGGTGCTTGGAGACATTCTCAGATTCATCAGAGGCAAACGGAAGGGTAGTGCACAGAAAGGGTTTTGCAAAAACCTATTCTACTAACATCGTGGAAGGCGCGGGACATTCGTAGAGCCCAAGGCTATTCGTGGACAGTTCGTGGAATGGTGGGCCAGTAGGAGAACTGACTGCTACGAAATCCCAGAAACCTTCGCAGAACTTCGTGGAAGGTATTTTTGATGCACTAACTTCGTATAAGCGATTTTTGCTGACCCCCTTTCTCCACCCACCCTCCATTTAGCCTTCAGATTCAGACTGGAGTGGAAACAAAAGCCACAGAAAGTCGAACTCAGAAGGGCTCCATTGTTCAACAGCAGCCGAACACAGATTGTTTGAGATCGAACGTGACAAGGGCTACCGGCGCCGCGCAGACATCTCAAATCTCGGATCCCGAATCTCGGATCTCGAATCTCGAATCTCCGATCTCAGACGGATCTGAATCTCCGATCTCAGATCTCGGATCTCGGATTTTTTGCCTATCTTCGTGGAGACCAGAATGGTCATAATAACAATAAGCAGTGAGTTCAATCCTTAGTGTGGTTTGGGAGGGTTATGAACTTGGTGTTCCATTTTGGCTCAAGTGTCGAGCCTCACCCCTTGTTCATCTGACTTAGGCGGGGGGTGATGGACGGACTACTTCCAGACAGAGCCACATTAGATGGGTGGCATAGTCTGGCGGATGCAGCCACATGGGGTGGCCTCGAGGTCGGTCTTGCGAGATGCGTCACGAGACAGTTGGGCGATCCGGGTTTGGTTTCAGTGCAGGTGCTTGCGGTGATTCCGTTGGAGGTGTTCGAAGCTTCGTTGCTTGCCGCCACCCGTGGAGATAGATACCTGACTGAGACTGAAAAGGCGCAGTGGCGATTGGTCCTCTCAGCAATTCGGGTCAAGTTTGGAGCGCCCTCGTTGTTTTCAGTTGCTATGGCACCACCCACTCCGGCGATCCCCACGGCAGTTGCCACGGGGTCAGGGGGTGCCAAATTGAAGCTCAAGATGAGTCAAATCATTGATCAAGGAGTTGACTTTGAGGTTGAGATGTTGTCAGGACCCACCTTGCAGAAGATGCGAGCCCAATTCGTGATTGCAGAAGGGGACAACCCGCTGGAGAAGGAAGAAGTCACAGATGCACAGCTCACATGTTTGGGCAAACCCCATTTGTGGATATGGGGGTGTGGCATGGCGATAGGATCGCTCGCGCCATGCGATTCGTTTCCCAACAGTGGCGTGATGGTCAGTGGAAGGCTGTTGAGTTGCCGGGAGCCTCAAACCTAGATGCTTGGGAAGAGTCATGGAGGATCTTTCGAACTGGAGCCTTGATGTTGCAATTAGCCACAGCAGCGACATTGCATCAGAGTTTCGTTCAAGGGTCTTGCAGCACCCAGATGTGTGGCACTTGGCAGCCCAAGCAGATATCATACGCAGGACAGAGTTCTGGTCGCAGGAGAAGCGTTTGAAAGCAGGAGGCCTTTCATACATCACATCCCGCATTGTCGGCATTCATTCCTGGTCAGCCTTGGAATTCAGTGTTGAGGGCTAGTGCTTCCCATGCAGATTTTTGGTCAAGAGAGTTCGAGAAACCAGCCATGCTCTACACCCTCAACTCGGCCAAGTCAGCGCCGGCGATTCCATTGGGGCCAGGATCGGCCGAGGAGCAGCCATGGATGAAGCCACAGCCAAAGAAGAGAGGGACGCCAGCTTTCGATCCGCAACGCAAAGATGGCCAACGCTTCAAGAGCAAGACTGGAGTGAACATCCGTTATGCTTGGTCGAGGGCTGCTGACGGTTGCTCGAATGATCGTTGTGACAAAGGCTTTGCACACATTTGTGAGTGGTGCAGGGCTCCACACAAGACAATTGACTGCCCGCATAGCCCTGGATGGACGCCTGAGATGAAGGACAAGGGCAGGCAGAAAGGGCGAGGCAAGGGCAACCCGCCCAAGAGGCAGAAGCACATGTGAAAAACAAGCCCAACAGTGGCTCTGGAAGCTGAACAGGTCGATATCGAAAGGAAATTGGCTATGCTTCGAGAGCGGCTGAAGGAGAGGGCTGAACAAGTCCAATTCGGCGCAGCAAAAGGGCACGTACAGCTTCGACTCCAAGGAGCCTGGAGATAGTGCTGGATTACAGTCAGACAGTTGTTTCATGGAACTCAGGCGGTTAGCCGCTTGGGGATCAATGTTTTCGAGCCTCAAGGGGGCCGTGTCACTATGGGCGTTGATCTGCTATGCAACGACACTTTCAAACGAATTAAAGCTGCAATCAAACGCAGGCAAGTGAGATGGCTACGCACCGCACCTCCTTGTCAGACATTCTCAAGGGCAAGGAGGAGGGACAAGTATGCACGCGCAAGACAGCTGAGGACCGCGCAGAAACCAAGTCTGCAAGAGTGCGAGAGGCCAACACACTGGCATCACGAGCTGCGCAACTGTCGTTGCTACAGTGGAAGGTTGGTGGCTGGTTTTCCCTAGAAAACCCAGCAGGGTCTTACATATGGTTGTATGGGCCTGTCAAACGTCTTTTGCAGCTAGAAGGAGTTCGGTTGTTTGTTGGAGACCAGTGCATGTTCATGGGCGAGTATGTCAAACCCACGGGTTGGCTCAGCAATGCAAACTTTATGCAAGTTCTTCAACGACGCTGCTCTGGGCGACCCAACCGCCAACATGAACCTTTGATGGGGTTGACCAGAGACTTCTACGGGAACAAGGTCTTCAAAACCTCCCTTGCCGCAGGGTACCCTCAAGGTCAAGATTCAACTTTTCTGCCGTTGGGGCAGTGAATCGATTTCGGATCAGCGGTTGGCAGCAAGTCTGTCGGTGGGCGAGGTGATGACGCACACAGCCAATGCCTTGGAAGTCCAGGTAGACCAACCCAAAGCCAAGAGGATGGTCATCCAGAACGCCCTGGAGACACAGTGCACCCAGACACTGCAAAGCGCCACACAGACCAAGGAAGAAATTGAAAAGATCCTGACTGAAATCAGGAACAAGTCCATGTTGATGAACGAAAAGTGGACAGAAGAATTGTCCAGGAAGTTCTTGCCCAAGTTTGCGCTGAACAAGTCTACCAGCACCTTCCATGCTGTGAGAGATTCGCTCAACACTGGATGCGGATATGAGTACCGCAATACCCGCAAACGCCGATTTACCAATGAAATCCCTGACCCAGACGCATCGAGATCCTCAGCGCGCATGCGCAAGAAAGCGGGGTGTGTCAAGATGTTGGAAGCCTATGCCCGTTCACTCTGAGCAAAGAGGAGAGAAAAGAAGGGCGCCCGTATTGGCTGTAAGGGGGGGTGATGGGAGTAGGACTCCACACCAACCCGGTCAATGGAACCGACTGGTGCTGAGAGGTACGAGCAGATGTCCGATGTGGACGCTCACTACCTCTTCACCAGGCTATGACCTTCGCTGTGAAGGCGGGTCATCTTTCGGCAGCCTTTACGGAAAATGGGCGGAGTGGGTTCAGGGAGATGTTATTTTCCTTCTTTTGATTGTGGAAACTGCGCGTGTTATGTGAAGCAGAACTACATGCGATAGTTTCCTCAGCATCAGATGGAATCTACATTCGCGCAGTTCTTGAATTTGCTCTTGGGACAGAGGTGGACCATTATATATGCACTGACTCATCAAGCGCACGCCAACTTGCGATGAAGAGAGGAGTTGGAAAGGTGAGACACTTAGAGGGAAAGCTGCTATGGATTCAGAGCAGGAAAGACTTCAAGATGGTACAACTGCCACAGATGGCAACATAGCAGATATCAACAGAAAACCACTTGGAGGAAAAAGAATCAGATGCAGGAAAGGTCAGAAATGGAGAACGGTAGCGTTGGAGGGCTTGCAGCCAATGGTTACAGAAGCATTCTTTGAAAAAGACAATAGTGGATTGGACGCAGTGAAGAAATCCAAGGAAGAATGGAAGTTCTGGATTGTCATGATCATTGTGTTCAACGTCATCGGTTTTGCAGCAATCAATCATGTTTGTGAGTTTCCAAACCTACAAACATTTTGAAGTGTTACATGCAGATTTTGCTCATACAAACAGCTTCATGACAGGATCCTATGAGACGATAGCCAAGGGGATTGACAAGCGAATTTATGATTTTGAAGTGAGGAGTTGGAATTTTGAGATAAGAAGAACTTGAAGGGAAGTTAGAAACACTTCGAGACTATGCCAGGAGGATTCACAGTGGATTGATTCTGAATGGAGGCTTTGTAAAAAGAGAAACACCGAGTCGACAGGCTATTCTTAGCTACAATATCCTGAGTGAGATCAACGCAGGAAACCACCTAGCCAGAAGGAGTTTTGAAGCTATGCAAGCCACAGAAGGATGGTATGAAAGGGTGACGCTAGAGGCAGCCCACGAAGGAGCAAACCCATCAGAGGGACTCTTGAACAAAGCATTCAGAAAAGGATACAGAGAGGTATCAATGAGACCAGAGTATATAAATATGCAAGCAGTACAGATGTGTGGTAGGCCCCATACCAAAATTGAGGACATGAAAGAACAAGAATGGAACCTACTAGGACTAGGAGACCAGGATTCTGCGGGTAGAAGTGAGCGAGAAGTATGAAGAACTACTTGGAATAGCAGAATACAGGAGGGACAACCCAGATGTTGAACCAACAGAAGCACGGTTCAGGAACCCAGCTCCTGTAGTGGGAAGATATGAATAAACCTGCAGAAAGAGAGCGAGAGACAGAGACACGGACAATAATTGAATGGAAGAAAAATGACTATGGTGGCAAAGTGAGCTCAAAGAAGCATTTTAGAGTCACATCGCCAAGAAGGAGCGGAGCGCGAACCATTTTCCATAGGAATCAGCGTGCAGAAGCATAGCAATACTAGCATCATGGAAAGAACAGTTTACTTGTACACTTTGTGCATGCGAGTTGATTGCAACCGTTTTGCAAGACAAGGTAAAGTGCGTACATGGAAAATATTCCGCACGTACCACGCATAAGAGCCTTGACATCCGAATGTCGCTGACAGAATCGTGCGAACAGCCAAGAAAGTGAGAAGCTGCAGCACTGTTCCTTATTGGCACAGATAAACCTTGGGCAGAGTGCAGAACGGAGCAATGAACAAATACAGCGAACAAGAACACAGGACAATCAGAGTAACGCCAAAGAATACACAAAACAAAGGCCGTCATCATCTTGATAAACAATTGAATTTACAATCCCATTGCAGTGATGCAAGTTTCAGTGAACCAACACGAAGGGATTGAGAGCGATATGATCAATGATGTGTGTTGATGGGAGGCGCCCTCGGAGGCGCGATGAACATAATGTGTTGATGCTGTGTGCAGTGAGATTTGTGGTGTTTGGTGACTTATGATGTGGCGAAGTGTCACGCAAAAAAATATTGTGTGACGCGACAGGTGTAGTTTTAAATCAATGCAAAAAACTGCGACATGGTGCACAGACTTATGATGTCCATCACCTAGGGGTATGTGACGTGGTACGTGAATCAATCATTTGGTGATTTACGGTGATTTGGTTCATAGTTTTGCATTTGCTTTGAACTTGTCAACTATGTGAACTTGCACAGGAGGCCTTGGAGACTGAGCAGCCAGTAGAGCAGTAATAACTCGGTAGTAGCACTAAGGATTGTTTCCTTTCACTTTGCTGTTCAGCAACACTGATCATAATGCGCACAAATTGGTGTTTGGAAAGACCACTTGGACATTGTGCAGCACCAAGTGGTACTGAAAAAATCTCACCCTATCATCCAAGCAGCAATCCTTCGAAGAAGGTTGACGAAAGAATGAACCTCTCGCGTTTGTGTTGCGATTGTGAATATGCAAGTCAAGTGCCTCCAAGGGGCTGGCAAGAGCAGAAGCAATCCGGTCTTAGTTTATGTGATGATGACCTTCTTGTGTTTCGGCTCCAGCCTTCAGCTGTGCCTGGAGTGACAAAAAGCGTGCCAGAAGAGATTGAAGACTGGCCGCATGGACACGAGGATCCTTTGTTGCTGCTTATCCTCTCAAAAAGTGCAAGTGAGCGGGCAGAGGATTTCTTCAGTCTCAACTCTACCATCCATGTCAGGATGCTGTCTTTGACCCAGCAGGTGGGCTTCAGTGCCAGTAGCGCCAAGCTGCTTTGATCAGCAATGAGTGAATGTCACTGGCCGATTTGAGACTTTTTGTAGGTGGCCAACTGGGCAGATGAGTTTGATGCTCAAAAGAAACACAAAAATGAAGGCCACGGATACCAGTATTTCCTGCAACATTTGCCGACACACAGGATGGACTACTCGGACAAGTATTGCGATGATATCTACGAATACAGGTGCCCGTACAAATCAATGTCATCCGATGCTTTTGTCGGTGTTCTTGCCTCCATGTGTAAAGCACCCCAATTTAAGAATTCCCCAGTTCCGAGTATGAAGATATAATGGTGTACAGATGTATACAGTATACACTTCTTTGCTCAGCTGTTCTTGCTATTGATGTGGTGTTGATGGCCACGAGTCAAATTAAAGATGGGCAAGAAGGCACCCATTCCTTTGATGCACTGGGTTAATCGGACACCTTAAGAGACGGGACTTCGCAAACCAAGGGGCCGTGCTGTTTAGAACATGTGCATTGTGTAGTTGCAAAATTGCAGCTTTAGCTCACAGCAAAACTATATAGTTTTCTGGCTTCTCCCGCCAGGCGAGTCACTATTCCTCGTAATATGGTCACTGCACTTCCCGTAGGCCGCACAATGGAGGCACGGTTTTGAAGTAGTTGCTAGTTGTGCACAAAGAACTGCAATGATGCGGCGCACATGCAGCGCTGCGAACAAGGAGTGGGAATGGCGACAGAATGGTATCACCATGTAGCGGCCTTAGCAAAACAAAGACAAGAGCAAGATAGCTGCACAGGCTATGGTAGTGTCATTCGCAAAGGCATGATCCAAGGGCACTGACGAGCCAATGGAAAATGAACCCCTACCATAGTCTCCTATGAAACCGGACCACGAATAGTTTTTCATTGTCTCCCTAGTGGCCAGAAGTGTGGATGTCATGTTGTTTTTTCAGCTTGAGCATGAGGTCTCGCGGGTGGGAGCATTATGATCATCATGCCCCAGAGGTCTGAATGTTGGCGTAAATACTGTAGTTCTATCAAAGTTTCACCATTTTTAGATCCTTCGCTGCAAGGCAAACGTACTGCTTTTTCGGCGCGTGCTCGGGACTGACCCGAAGACTGGACAGCCTGCACCTCATGAATTTGAAGAAGCACATTGACATGCTGAGAGCCGACGGCCTATCCTTCAGTTCCAGTTCCTGTCTTCGACTGAGGATTCCTCCAAAGATGGCATTGAAAGTGCTCGGCTTATACAGATGTCACATATCTCTTCCAACACAACATGCCACAACTAGTGACTACGGACCACTCTCAGGTGCAGCAGAGAAATCAATACGTTCACGAACTTGAACAGGACCTTTGAAGCATTGCTTTCAGTTCACGACTTCCAACCTTTCTTGTCGCTTTCATGCTTGCACAGGAAAGACAGCGAATGATTCAAGAGCAGGCGAATGTTGAATGCGTCATGTATTCCAAATGCAATCATCGTCATAGCCACATTGCAGCCATGACAGCAAGGCACAACGTGAGCAGACTGGTGGCATGGAGTACTAATTAGGCGGACATGCTCACAGTTGCTGAGGTTGCAGTATCACCCGAATGCATGGCGACAACTGCACGTGTCATGTTAATATTTGTTTCTTGGCCTTAGATTTGGCCTTGAATTTGGGACCACTGCTTTTTGATATTCTTTTTGAAATAATTGTCCGGAAAAAACACCTGCCTCAGTGGTCCCAGCAATTAAAGTGAAACTGCTTGATTAGAAGCGGACATTTGAATCTGGAGGCAGGTCTTTTCTTCACAGGAGTAAGGATTTTCTGATAATGTTTGCTTTTTTGGGGGGGAAGCCAGACACAGCAAACCGCCCGGCAACTAGTTCCTACTAGGGAGGGTTGAGTCCGTCCCACATGCATTAAAGAGTGTTGTGTTTCCTTCATAGGGGGAAATGGGACAGGTGCACAGTCACCTGAGGCTTTCACCAAGTCCAGGAGGTAGCGCTACGAGAGTTAATTGCGTTGGGGTAAAGTGCGTGCGGAAGACGCTTGCATGAGCCTGTGCATGAAAGCACGCCTATCATTCGGCTCTAACACAAAACCAATGCTTGTGCTGCTTGTTTTTACACATGTGTGGCATTTTGCAGCCATGGTCTTCAAGTTCCATGCCGGACATACCAAGCCTACATCCATCAATTTTCATATCGCGGCAAGCGTGGCACACTTAACAGTGGATATGTTATCCTTCGATCAACAGCCCATTATTCAGCCGTGTTAATATGTGTATATATATATATTGTTTTTTGAGAAGACATGTGTGATTTCTCTGAGATTCGCTGAGGACAGGAGACACTGGTGTGGCATTTTCTGAACAAGGTCCCTTGATGTGGAGAGATGTTGAACAACATCTGTAGTAGAATCCACAGTATAGGCAAAATGTCTTCAGACGTCGTGTTCATATTCTCTCATCAAGAGGTTTGTGCCTACTGCAGATTGCGGCATTGGTGCTCCTGTCCCACTACAGATTTTGCACAGACATCAGGCAGTGTTCTTTTTGCGAAATTCATCACCGCCTCCGATCTACTTGTAAACACGTTCAGGCACACACAGAGATCCGCATGATGAACACCAAGGTAGTGCAATTTAGCTTTGCTCAGACTTCGGATTGGCTGTGTCAGTTTGTCGCAATGCGGGAGTCAAGCAAAGCCACAACTTGGAACAACATGTTTCTCATTGTTTCTCTATCGCACAGGGTTCTGGAGAATTTGCAACCTGGGACGTGGACTGTGAGCAGGCCTTTGAGGCCTGACTTCCGTTTTGCCTTTGGCTTCGTTGCCTGTTGCTGTCGACTTAAGCGTTATGTTGTTTTCATTTGTTTTCTTATTGCCTTGCAGCTTTGAATTGCAACTTTCGTGCAGGTTGCTTTGCCACCACGGTGGGAGTTTCGAGACCGGGCGTTTGGTTCGCCTGGGATTTGGAGACCCTTCAACGAGGTCAGCCAGAGTGTTTGCAATGCGTTTGCTTCAATTTCAGTGAAACTATTTGGAGCTGAGTTTATGAATCATGTCAGTGCACACTTGATTTCATGAGGACATATCAGCGAAGTTTTGAGGTTTCGAAACTGTAGCTTTGTTGAAGGAAGAGAGGCGAAGTGTCGATGGCATATAGAAGCAGGGGGGCAATGCCTTCCTGGCCCTTCACTGCATGATTCACCTTCTTGGCATGGGCACACCTTGTGAAGGCTGTGAGCTGTGAGATCAATGCGTTGGTTCGTCGCGGTCAGCGCTGGAAGCCCACTGCAAGTATCGTTAAGCATTCAGCATCATTCTTCTGTACCGTTTGAACCAAGTGAGTTTAGCCTCTGGGTACGCCTACCAATCTCATCCAATCTCCCCAGTTTGTAATCAAAGTCGGAATCGCCAAGCTCTTCTATATAAAGTTATATATATATAGATCGTGCTTCCTGGTTTTGCCAAGTTTGTTTGATACAGTCAGCGGTCAGCAATTTGGCAACAGGAAAATAGCATTCAGTAGACCGACAAGACTTCTGAGATGTACACATGGCAAAGGGTAACAAATTTAGCAGGGATTCAGACAGTTGGAGAATGTTTCGATACAGAAGACACCTGCATTGAGAAAGACATTGGCAGAAAGGCGGAGGACTACGCAAGACTCACAATTCTTCATTTCTGCCTCGCAAGAAATGAGGATGAACATGGTGCTTTGTCTGAGAGCTAAGACATGCTGCTAAGGCCGCGGAAACGTGTCCATAAGCGGAGCAGAGTTTGCCGTGGATTTGCAGGTGCTGTTTCCAGATATGCCAACAGGCTATGGACATAAAGTTGCAAAGCACCTTGTGTTTGTCACAAAGTCACGACTGCGGAATCCAGGCGATCAAGTTGCCTTGTGGTGATTGAATCACACTCATCTCTATATGTACTTCTTTGCTCAGATATCTTTCTACGGTTTCCCATCTTAAAGTATTGACCAGGACATGGTTGCCATGCCAACTGACCAGTATGCTGCGGGGGCCCTGGATGACCTTAGCGCATTTGACAGACCTTAGCGCATTTGACAGGGCTGGACTCCAAAAAAGATTGCAGCGTCCTGGATTGCTTATCCATCGAGGTTCCAAGAGGCCTGCGGAAAAATGTGAGACAACCCAATGTCAACAAGAAGGCTTTGCGGGCTGTTTACCATTTACCTCTACGGATATCAATGGACTATGCTGGCGATCGCAGTACTGAATGTACAGTAATCATTACTGTATGTAATCATGTCTCATGTCCAAGAGCATGCACTTTGCAAGGCTTTGCGACAGCTTTACCAGAAGTGCCGTGCTTAGTAGTGTTCTCCCTGTCAAGAGGTATGGGCAGGTTGAATCCAGCATTGATGGTCTCTTTTCAGGTACGCGGAGGAGTTGCTGCCAGCAGACCATCCAGGAGGAACTTTGATCCTGATCCTGCCGTGTGAAAGCAATGATTGCATGTTTCTCAAACTGGGGAGGCTCCCCTCATTCTGAGACAGATCCCTTGATAGACATTGTTTTGTAGATGCACAAGCAGAAGAACTCAGAGGCACGTAAGGATGGATACTGGAATCAAAAACGTACGCACATATGAAGGCACTAGTGCGTGGCACCACCCATGGTAGCTCTATCCAAGTTCCAATAGTTCCACGCACTGCACAACCAATTTGGAGTGCACCACAAAGTCATTTGTGAGTCATTCACTGTTCCTTGACAGGGCCAGACGGCATTGCTGGCGACAAGTTTCTTGAATTGTTCAAGGACGCAGGGAAACACATTCACCTGAGCGACTTGACTTTGGAATCAATCGGATGTTCATCTCCGTGCAAGTACTTTGTCGCTTGAGGTGACTATATATAATTAGTCAAAAAAAAAGGAAACTTCAATAAAGAAAACAAGGTAAGGGCCCCTTGCCTTCTTGTTCTTCTCTTTACCTTAGTCACCTCGGACAGGACTTGGAAGTAGATCCTGGAACTGATGTTGCAGCCCTCGCACTTGCTTCTGCACCGCCGGCTTTTGCGCATGCTCATTCGGCTTTGCTGCTTTTTCAATCGCTTTGCTAGGCTTGCAATGCTGCGGAGATGGGTGTTTTTCGAAGGCCCAATGCCAGGATGCTGGGTGCTGTACGTACACATGTGTAACTCGATGCAAGGACTTTTGCATCTCTGCAACAATCAATCAGGAATTGCTGTAAATCGCAGATAGAATGCTGCAGTGACAGTGGAAAGTCCACGTGCCAGGCGAGAATTCATTTGTGGTTGCGCTGCATTGGAGGCCAATGAGACAAAACAGTTTGGGGCAGCCTAAAGGTTGCTGGCCGTTGAAAAAGTGCAAGAATGCTCAATCTCGCACGGCAAAGTGTTGAGCCCACTCCTTCCCACGAGGTCGACAACATTGCAGACCTTCGCGGCAAAATGCCAGAATTACGAGATAATGTCATATCTGGCAAGTCATTGCCAGAAGTTTATGCGTACCCTGATGTCCAATGAGCTTGCCTCCGTTCAATCTAAAGCACTTGTGGCACTTATTATTACCAGGTACACCTTTGGGGTTGCTCTGGAGCCCCCCTTGCAAACTGCTGCCTCTTGAAGAGGCCGGAGCCGTGCCAAACAAAGTTCAAACCATAGTTGCATGTTTGTTGGAGGCTGCGCAGTACTGGGCTCTCTTATTGCCAAATTGGCCTTTACGGGAAGACTTTTGTGACTGGGCGATGAGGCTAGGCAGCAACTTTGCGTGTATCTGCGGTGATGCTAAATTTGGAGTACGGAAGGTATCTTTCACATGAGAGGAAGAGAGGAAGAGACAGAGAGAGAGAGAGAAGGAGAGAGAGAAGGAGAGAGAGAAGGAGAGAGGGAGAGAGAGAGAAGGAGAGAGAGAAGGAGAGAGAGA